CTGTTCCTCTTTGAAGCACATTCTTCCCCAATTTCAGCATATCGACGAGGTCGGAGAAAGATAAGTAGGACAAAACCGAGGTGGGACAGCACTTTTGGGGATTTTGGGAAAATTACCAGGTCGGAGAAAAGTAGGCCGGACAATCTAGCTGCACCGTGCATCCCCCGGGGCCAGGACCACCACGACGGGCGGCCTTCCGTCCAGCCCAGCACGGCGACGGCCTCTGAAATTTTATAGAGAGGAGTAGTAGTGCCAAACTCTGCGAGGGTCTCGAGGTAACAAAACGGACGGGTCGTCGTCACCGTCCTCGTCGAACCGGGAAATGAACCCGGGCGCGGCGGGGTGATGGGGCGGTGGGAGGGGGAGGGGTGGCGGCGAGGGGTGGTGGATGGTCAACACGCTGGGGCACAGTCTTGCGACGTGGACGGATGGCCGGCGCGCTAAATGGGCTAGGTTTATTACTTCGACGTCCGAAAGCACCGTGCGCGCTCGGGGGCGTGGCGTGGCGTGGCGTGGCGAGGTAAGTGCGGGGTGTGGGCCTCGGGACTGTGCTGTGCTGGGCCCCAGCCACGGTCGAGGCCGAGCCGAGGCCTCTAGTAGGCTAGGGTTGGTCGTTTCGTCGACACTGCCAGAATCACCAGAGTGGCGGAAGATAAAACTCAAAACTGTTCCGTTCATTCAACTTGAAATAGAATCAATTTTTATCTTTCATTATTTTTTTTTCCGGTAACATCTGACCATCCGTTTCACCTAGATTGCGTCAGTAGGTATGCATTTTCCCTCTCGCCGGCTTAGAACAATAAATAATATTACAAAAAAGAGATACACCAACAACTGCAACAGCAGCAACAGCAAGAACGGGTGTGATGGGATTCAAACGCGAGGACGCCGATGGTCGTCTTTTTGCGTCCGATTCTGATCCGTGGTAATGGCGATGCACTCGATTGTGCAGCGCTGCGCAGCCATCATGCCCAGTTGCGGTGTGGGCCGGCGGGGCGGGCGTCAGCCTCGGCTAGGGTCAGCGTCGGCGGGGGACTCTGCTGTAGCACTCGCCGCCCCGCACACCTGCACGCCCGTC